ATCCATCTCATAATCACAAGGTACAGATAAGGAACGCTTAACGTTTCAATTTGTACTGTTGTGACGTCAGTAAAACGTGTGCATGCCATGAATCACGAGAAGAATTATGTACACTGTAGGCTAAAAATGCAGTATGACATATGAACTTCAAAAGCAAGAAATAAAAATGTTTGTTACACTTAATTTTGGTTTTATTTACTCTTTAAACAGAAAACTTTTGGGGACTCTGCACAAATAAATCTACTATATGAGCTAATTGTGTTTTCAAACTTTCAAAATTAAGAATATGCACTGACTCCATTTTATTTTCCTTAGACGTAATCGCCTTGTACCCATCCATACCCGTAGAAGAAGGCATATATAGTACCATTAACTTTACATCTTCACTTGATCAACATACTTTTCCAGGAAACATCACATTAGACACCGTCTGCACAATGCTCAATTTTGTTCTATACAACAGTTATTTTAAATTTGGTGACACTTTGTACAAACAAGAGAAAGGAGTAGCTATGGGTAACAGAGCAGCAGTCACATTTGCTATAATATTCATACATACCTTAGAAACCAAAGCTCTTGACACATATAGACAAAAAAAACAAAAAAAAAAACAAGTTTAATACCACAAGTGTGGTACAGATATATCGATGACACATTTGGTATTTGGAATCCTGGAAAAGAAACACCACAGCAGTTCTACTATTTCCTAAACTACTTCCATCCCACAGTCAAGTTAACACTAAAACTACCCAACGCAGAAGGATATTTAACGTTTTTAGACGTAACCCTAAAAATCCAAGACAGACAAATACGGAGCTCCATGCATAACAAAGAATGCAAGAAACCGGTATTTCTGCATTACAAATCACACCACCCAGAACAAGTCAAAAGGGGAACCGTAATAGGAGAATTAAAGAGAATAAATCGAAACTGCTTCAAACCGAATGCCATTCAAACAGCACAAAATGACTTTAAAACACTACTGTTGCGAAACGGATACCCCAAATACTACAACGACAGTGTTTTCAAATCATACACACACAACACAAAAATATTAAAATAGCAACAGGCCCAAAACAGAAAAATGACTTACGCGAAAACGCCAACAATGAACATTCCTTTCATAAACGATACAATCACAAACAAGATTCGTAAAGCCATAAAACAATCCCAACTGACAATCAACGTAACACAAAAACAGGTAAACACTGAAAGAACTATTTGTTCACTCTACATTCTCACAAATAAAATGTACCAAAAAACAATGCTACGCCAGAGTAAACGGAGCAGGACAAATGTGCCACATGAAAAACGTAGTCTATCAAATCATTTGTAATATATGTGGAGACGCATATGTAGGAGAAACTGGAAGACCTTTTCACACACGCATCTCAGAACACATCAGTGCGCTACATACACATGACCAACACAAAACTGCTCCAGCAGAACATTTCCTACTCAAACACGGATCGCCAAACATAGAAAACCAGAACCCATTTAAAGTTTGCATTTTTACAAAAACCAAAGATTTTAAAGAGAGAAAATATATGGAAGCTATACTCATTAACGAGAAAAATCCAAAAATGTACAGAGGTGGATGTTACATGTAACCAAAACACCATTCACAGAACAACAAATTGTATCAATACATTTTACACTTATTACTTCCAGTTTAAGACTTGCTTACTCTGGAGTACCACATAGCCTTACAATTAGTTTTTAACATTGTTACTAAATTTCGAATCCTTTCCACTTACTATCGTTTTTAGCAACTTCTATTTTCTGTCTGTGTGTTTTCAGTTAATCATAAAACATATTTCGGTTCTCTTTATTTTTATGTTTTATTTTAGTAATATATGTCATATGTTACTATAGCTACGTAATATAAGTATATTATATTAAAACAATAATGAAACAACAATGCTATTTTGTACATTTTTGAAGACACGTGCGACAGACTCGTTAGATGGAACATCACAATAAATTTTATAAATTAACGTATACTTCAATATCAAACAGTTTGTATGCATTAACCCTGAATAAGCTGTAAAAGCGAAACGTTGGTAGTAATAAAAAACAAAACAAATATATTGTTGCGGCATCGAGGTAACGTAACTGGTGTGGCGCCACATATTTTCTAGAACTATCCTGTACCTTGGCGAATGCTCTAGTATTTAC